TTCCACATCAGGATAACTAATAGCTGCCGATGAAGTACAGGTTTCAAAAGTTGCTTTAGCTGCATTTGCAGTTGTTTGACTTTGACTTTGAGATTGTTGCAACTCCTTGTTTGAACACCCTGTTATAGAAGAAATATTGCGACATTTAGGAGGTGCTCTCTTTTTCGGAGAACCTGCTTTGGACCACGAAAATCGAGATGGAATTACCCCTGCCTTCACATAAACACGCTGACCTCCAACAGCTTTAACCAAGTCCTCGGGCTTAAAATGACGAGAACAGATCTTCGTGTTTTCGCTGTCTCTAAACTCTTTTCCTTCGTCTCGACGAATGGCATGGAGCCAACGCTTTTTGAGTATAGTGTCGTCCGGAAATCTAAAGTAAGAAATTTTCTCCCCACTTTCGGTTCTGTACTTCTTTTTGGTACAGTTTGGCACGCAACAGTTTCGCAGCATTTTCAAAAACTGGTGCTGTTCACATCAGGCGGCCATTATTATTTACTTCGCCCAACTAGCCTCGTTTTCAAGTTAATCGCTCCCAGTCTCTTTTCGTTCTGCATAGGGTGTACAACGACACCGCGGAAATACGTTTTTTAAGGAACGATACAGTATTTTATTGGTCAGCGGACACCTCAACGAAACCATAAAATGCCGTCAACTTTTACAATGTTTTCGCCGCGAGTCAAATCGACAGCGTAAAAAGGTAAAACTTAAAAAGAATACTGTAAACTTAGCTTTGAAACTCCAGTCACCTTTTGGATAGTTCTCAAGCTCAATTGTTTAATTTGCCAAAGCCGAACTGAAGTTGCACACGATATGAAATTGTTGTTTTCAGCTGGCGGCTCCGTGGCAACTGTTTTGTTTATAGAAGAGCATAAGCACTAAGGCTAAAAGTGAGACGGTTTTTGAATGGCTGAAGCGGTGATCCGAGGACGCTGCACCATCAGGTTTGTAAAGCAGTGGCTTGAACCGTATAGATCGGCCTGTCAACGGCATTCCGGTCAGATTCGCCGAGAAGACAAAATATGCCCGTGTAGCACGGACACCCTATCCCAATTCCTTATCGTATGTATCATAGTTGGCCAAAAAGCCTATGACTGTAACATGTATAGGACTGAAGCCCCCAAAAAAACAAAAATTGGCTCAACTAGAGGAAGAATAAATCGAGGTATGTTTAAGTACAAAATGTCCATTGTAATGGTAATAAATTAAGTTCTCACTTTCCACCTTCGTTTGTAATTTTTTTTTCTAAGCTGTAATTTTTTTTCTGAGCAATAATTTTACTTTCCCAACAAGTATTTGTTTCCTATCACAATTATGAATAATTTGTAGTATGTCTTTTTATTATGCTGCTCTTCCCTCACTAATCATTTTATTTTATTTCTTTTTGCTTTTTCTTTTCTTTCTTTACTAACTTACTGCCGTCTGCAACATAAAATGTAGTAAGCTAACAGAATACTTCTGGTTCATATAGCTCCCTGATTCACAAAGTAACATTACCATCTTGGTACTACTAGAAAACAAATTTTTAAAAAACAAAAGTACTGTGAGGTTTNCAGATTTTCAAGCTCGTCGATATTAAGATCTGTCCGCACGGAGAAATTTATTGTTGATTTAATATAAAAGCATATACCTACGCCACCATCGCTGGGCCTATCTCTTCGAATTAATTCGTAGCCACAGACATAAAAATCCGAGTTATTATTAGACACGTCCGGTTTAGTTTCCTGAATAGCAAGAACACCAAGACACTTATTGGCAAGCAAGATTCTAATTTCATCAATATGCGTGGAGAGTTTGTTAACATTTAGGGAAGCTAACTTAAATCCACGTTAAGAAGGAATACGGTTGTTAGTAATGGAACTCTGCTTATCTAACATTAATTGATTTGATTCGAAATTATTGTCATTAATGTTACGAGATTCAAGAAATTCAAGACGATCGGCATTCGAGGAAACAGTTCAATTATGATTAGCTTCCTTTGCTACTAAACATGATACAAAGTTTTTAAATAATAGTTCGTTACCTTGCTTATTTAAATGTAAACCACCTCTGTTTAAAACTTTCTCCGTGATGTTGGCGTGGCGAACCAAAGGCCAGTGATGCTGCTTAGAATATTTGATGAGGAGCTTGTTAACTGACTTTACTGATTCTTTGTGTGCGTATTTGCGCGTAGTTAACTCAGGCTATACAATCTCGGCTCCACAAGTACATCTAATGGTTTTAGCAAGATCCACAGTAGAGTTTGCAACATCATTCGGTGTCTTTGATTTCAAATCATTCGTCGCAATATGTAGAAAAATTCTACTAGTATCTGGAGCATTGTTGATCGTTTCCTAAGTACTAGTAATACTCCTTGTCGCTCATTGCCAGGGAATACGGGTTAAGCTCCGGGCTCGTATACAGACTTAACTAACTCTACATAGGTTGTATGGTATATATTGCACGATGAACTAGACATTACTGCCAAAATGCGGATGTGATCATAGTCAGCGAAGAAGGGGAGGGGTGCTGCACGGGAGGCCTAGCCGCTCCCCTTCAAACAAAAACCCCAACCCTAATGCCGAAATTATCACTAGTGCAAGCATAAAAACTGGCATCATATCCGATCCGCTCAGAAAATGATGTGTCGTATGTCTTTTCTTGAACAGCGCATTAAAAGCAACGGGGTGAAGAGGCCAGGGAAGTTTGTCTCTGGTTCTTTATCCGAACTGACCTGAACCTCCCTCGCTTTCAATCCGCCGCTATCATCACGCGCCGTATCTCTGAGCATACAAAACCGTTAAGTTAGCAGGCCAGCGTGCGGGGTCCTCTCTCACAACTTTCCTGTTCGTAAGGTTCCGTCATTGAGAACCTGGCCACATACTAACGAGGAAAATATTTTGCCTTGCATGTTCAATTCAGTTGAGTTTGGTTCAAATTCAAGTTCAAATCAGTTTCGTCGGTTGACCTTTGCGCTCCGATGCCCTCGATAAAGTTGGTTGATTTCGAATTGCGGGTTCTTTATTTTCCATTTTATTCTTCTTTACTTGCATGCATTGTATCCACAGTTATGTTTCTCAGTTCGTGAGGGGGGTGGTATTTTTAAAAATCCTGCAATCTGATTAGTTCAGAGAGCGGGCAGTATCCTCCCATCCGGCCCGCTCTAAGTGGGCAGTATCCTTTGCAGAACATCTCTAGCTTCATTGCATTTTTTTATAAACATTTTGTTTTGTCGGCTGGACAGCATCATTAAGCAGAGACTTCGGTCACGACCTTCGGCCGATGAATAACATTAATTCTCTCTTTCTCAAATCACACAGGTTTACCGCAAAAAGTGATTTCTAAATAAAATTTTGGGGTACTAAATTGGTTTTTTAAAGAGATTAACACATGGCCTAAAAACCATTTGTAATTTAATCATCCTTCACAATAAGTAACTCAGAAAGTTAAGAGAAGAGGTATTTGCAGTCAATATTTACTTACGTGACTCACTCAATGAAAATCTGAATTCTCCAAAACAATTCCTTCGTTTGTGAAACGTCGAGCGAAGTTTTGAGATCTTCCATTAATATACTTTCGCTTATTGTTTGCAAGTCCTTGGAATTTGAAAATTTCTACTTTAAATCAACTATGATTAAATTTCACAGAAACCGAAGTAATTCGATGAGTGAAAGTCGCATTAAATCCCCTTGTGTTTAGCTAGAGAGAGCGTCTAAGCATCCTTATTCCATCGTGGTACTACAGGAATTTCCCCTAAAAATGTAGCTCTGTCCCGTAGCTTAAAATTAGAGGCCTGATGTTTGCTGTGCAAAACGCTTCCCCTTTCCATCCCCTACCTTTCTTCTTCTTTTTAATTCTATAACGCTCTCTCTTACTCAAAAGCTCTTAAAAATATTGTCTACTGAGGCTAATAAAGCAGATATCAATAATGGAAGACGGTAAAGGAGTAGAAATCAAAGTGGCTCCGAACCCCTAAAGAAGCAAAATGAATAATGCAGGGAGATAACGTCAAGTCCACTAAAATGACAAAACTTTTGGGCGAGAAAAGTTACGTTTTAGCCACAACGTCTTCCCGCTCGAAGCACATTCACAATCACATATACACTCTGCAAACCTGGCGCACTGGATCGCACTTACCTTCTCGAACTCTGGCGGGAAAGGTTTTCAATTTCCTTTTTTCTTTTCCTTCCTTTTTCAAAAATAGCTATTTTCTTCTATTTTCTTCATTTTGCCGGAGCGCAACCATTTTGTTACGCAATCATCTGCATTTGAGAAGCCTACTACTGTTGCGCAGCTTAAGTCTTTCCTTTTCCTGTTATGACCACTCGGTTATAGCTTTCAGCCATTTCCTAGGTTAAAAAATTGCAGTGTTCGTCGACATTATAAAATGTGGGGTACCCTACGGCTATCCTTTTCTTTCAAATTTGTGCTTTACAGAAACAAATCCAATTTCCTGATACATCCTAGTTTTTAATATATATTTAGATATGAATAAAACATTCACTCCTTCCTTCTTTCCTTCGATTTCTATTGACTTTCTCAAATCCGCGGACCAGTATGTAAAGCGTTGCCACTCGCATTCGCCCTGGTCAAAAAGGGTTTATACAGGAAAGTGATTTATTTCAGTGGCAAGCCTTCTTATCAGTGGACCGTTTCTACACATCGACAGCGTATGATTTTTAGCTTGAAGTTCTTACTGTTAAACCAATTCAACGCTGTCCAATTGAAGTAGCGCCCTGTCAGTGATTGACCTAGACGTAACAGCACGACACGTACAAGTCGTATTTAAGCTACGGTTGTTAGGGAAAGACTTTGAGGTTGGTCCTCCTCAATTCGATTGAGGGAAAGCTGTCATTGTTTTTTTTTTTCCTGTTAACCCTATCTGACACAAGTGATAACTTAGGGCTCAACAAAGGCTGGCATAATTTGAGTTCGAAATCGATCGACGTGCTGAACGAATCATCGAATGATTAATTTGCTCCAGATGATTTTTTAAACACAAGTATCGGAAAGGTAAACCCTGTCTTTCCCTATATATTTATTTAGACAAAAACATATCCGTTAAAAAGAAAAAAACTATCGATGATATGCACTGTGGAATTTGAACTCTCAACCTCTGGCTTTGCGGGCTACTAACCAGTCCGCTGCGCGACATCTACCAAATGGTCTCATATAATGGTCATCATATAATAATTACGAGTATCAGTCTGTACTTTACACTGAGTAATAAAAGAGTTGCAAATGACCATCAGTTTTCTCCTTATAATACTAAACATTACCAGCACATTATTACCAGTAAAATTCGTGAAAATCAAAGAACCGATCACCAAAGAGTAACGACTATAACCTATTACAAATTCTCATGGTCGATTGGAGAAAGAAAATCTGAGGCGACCTAATACTGAAAACAACCAACCAAAAAATATCCATCCAATTTCCAAACTCCGAGAGAACCTTTGAGCATTTCAAGTTATGCTCGCGCAGATATTCTCGCGGTTAACACGAGTGTCATGAATGAAGCATACTTTCTTTCAACGACCCCTTCAATACATATTACAGAGTAGAGGCTGAAATGAAGAGGTCGAAATAAAGTACTATAGTCTCCTGACCATAAACGTGTAAGCCTATCTGACAGCTCTAACAAAATTAAATAATCACAGAAAACAGATGTTGTATTAATCTTGTACTTACACTGGTATCACCAATAAAAGCTTATGAACATTTGCGCTGCTTGGTGCCAGGGTCATGAGTTACTGTTTATTCGTTACGTTATCGCTTTTCCTTTTTCCCCACAGGTCTTAAGACGGAATACACATTTTCTGAAAAAGTTCATCCGACTCAGTTAGAGATGGATGACACTCCTGCACAGCAATCACAGCAGCAGCACCAGAATCACTGATTCTCTTCTTAAAAAACATCCCCTCCTATCGCAGACATAAAATCATCCAGATGCTTTGTGAGGGCGGAAACACCAGCATAACCAATGCCATTATGGGACACATTCAGCGCTGTCAAAGTCATGTTTCCCGTTAAACATTCAGCTAGTGCAGCAAAACCATCACCTCCTATTTCATTCCTAGACAAATCCAACTTTATCAGAGATTTATTGCATTTTAGAGACTCAGCCAGAGCAGCAGCACCAGCATCACCAATATAATTACCACTCAAACTCAACTCTGTTAAAGATTTATTCCCTTTCAAACACTCAGACAGAGCGGCAGCACCAGCATCAACAATGTTATTACCACCCAAATCCAACTCTGTCAGAGACGTATTAGTTAGTAGACACTCAGCCAGAGCAGCAGCACCAGCAACAGCAATCTCATTATTGGGCAAATCCAACTTTGCCAGAGATATATTATTCTTCAAACAATCAGCCAGAGCTGCAGCACCAGCATCACCAATCTTATTATGAGACAAATTCAACTGTGCCAGGGATGCATTTCTTTTCAAACCCTCAACCACAGTAGCAGTGAGATAATCACCAGCGTTACTACCTGAAAGTTTCAAAATCTTCACTGCTCTACCTGTTTTAAGAACGTTCGCTAACAAAACAGCGAAAGCTTTATCTATTCTTGTACCCGAAAGGTCAATGACTTCAATTTGAAGACAAGCGCCAAGCGCGCGGGCCAGTTTTTCATCACAACTGTTGTCATTTTTGCACTCATTAATGCCCTTAAAAGCAAAAGCCAAACCACCAGCTACGTGCTCCTCCTCCTCCTCGTTTAACTGTGTTGCCATACTTCTCACAAGGTTCTCTGCTGTTTCCTCATATCGTGCTGCCAGAATGCCAAATGTGAAAGGAAGCACTTCTTTCAGCTGATGGCGGTATCGTTCGTCAGCAGCTACGCTGTCCGTGCTTATTTCTTTCTTGATAATCTGACATCCGAGATTCAAAGCGGCGAAGAACTCTTGGAAAGTCCTGTGAAGAAAGCCATAGCGCCGAGTCGGTCTTAGTTTACTGCTTCCGGGCTGAAAGGAAAGAAATCCAAGTCCAGGTAAGTCACGTGCTTTATGTTTTTCAAGTTCCTCCTCGTCAAAGTCCAAGTTGTCTTCCAGTAAACCTTTCAAAGCTATCGAGCCAAGGTGTCTCAGCTGGCTTTCGTAAATTTGTACGAGGTCTTCGCGGGTTTCTGAAAGTTGTTTCTTTGCTCTGTATCTTCTTAGTATACACTCCACCATGACCATGTACAGCTTCGATCTGCTTTGAGGAAACCGGCCGTTAAAATCTTTCAAGACCAGGCATAAAACCGTACAGTTGAGAGGACTCGCTGCAAGGTCTTGAAGATTTCGATCATCGTGCAGCTGGACTAAAAGCCTGTTAGCCAAGGCCTTTTCCGTTTGGAAAAATTTGGTGATGAACCTTCTTGCATCTTCATCAGTAAATCCCTTGACTTCCAGAAGCATGTTACAGTATCTTCGAACTTTGACTCCAACTTCATGTCGTGCTGTAACAATCACGCGACATTTTGGCAGTACTCGGCCTTGAATAATTTCTGAAAACATTGGTACCTTAATCTCAGAAACTTCATCCAATCCATCGAGTACAAGGAGAACTTTGGATTGATTATGGCGAATGAAGTCGAAGAACCTCTTCTTTTGGTAATCAACGACATCTCGAGGTAGAAGTTGATCATCAATGGCTTCCCAAAGGCCAGACTGAACTTCACAACATTTGATCAAAAGAATTGTGAAGAATTTTCCGAAGCAATTTTTAGCTGCGCGTTTTTGAGTGGCCCAGTCAAAAACAACTTTGTGGCAGAAAGTTGTTTTCCCCACACCGGGCTTCCCTTCCACTAACACAACCCTTGGTTCCTCACAGCCTTCGTGTGGGTTAAACATCTCAGACATCCTGACTACTCGGTATGTGACTGTTCCCACCGTTTTCTTTGAGCTGATGACTTTAAGTTCGGTGTAGATGTCGTCAATAGAGAAACCAAAGTCCTCACACCAGGAAAACGGTGCCAACCAACCCTCGCGGACTTTGTAAAGCTGACGAATGCCATCAACAATCTCGGTGGAATCTAAAGGAAAAAAAGTCTTTGTAAGGTGTCTCCTCAAACTATCGAGAACGCCTCTCCAGATTTTCGCGGAACAATATAAAATAAAGTTTTAGATTGGCGTCACATGTCATATGCGTTCACGACAAATGATCAAATATGGAGATATGACGTCCGCGCGGCCGACTTTCAAAATTTTCAAGTCAGATTTCCCACTCCTTTCCGATCAAGTGAGACTTTCTCGAACTCAAAATAAAAAGTTAAAATGCTATAGAATACTTTGCTTGAAAAGTAATGGACACTCAAGTCTCAAGTTTAATAACCTTTAGAGTCACAGACACCACGAAAACTCTGAAGCGTTGCGAAATGTGGCTAACAATGAAAACCGAGTTTTTACGAATTTCAAGCGAGGTCTAGCGACAATTTGAAGTTTCCAAGGCCCGGTAAATGTCATGTTGAGTAATGATATGTCCACAAACTATTTTTTAAGAGAAGATTTTCTGTCATAATGCAGTATCCCAAAGCTGCTCGCCCACCCTCGTCTCGTGCTTTTCTCCTGTTTTTGAACGCTGCCACCTTTGCAGCTCGACTTGTAAGTAGATTTGACGATGATATTTAATCCCTCGTGTGACAGTGCTCTGTTTCAATTAAAGATGACGGTATCCCACATAAAACTTTTTCAAAATTTGAAACATACATTTTGCCTTCCACCCATAGTTTCTTTTTGGTGGACGGCTGGCTCTGCACAGTCTTCAGCTTTTCTTTGAGGATTCCAATTTCACTTTCCAAACGCTCTGGATTGACTCTGGTGCGCTCTGAGAAACAAATTTGTCCTCAATTTATGTCCATTGTAATCAGTTTCTCTAAGTGTCTATGACAACAATTTTTGGGGTGTTTTCTGGTTGATAACTGTATTTCAAATTTGAAATAATCGACCTCAGCGCCTAGCGAGTTCTTCTTGACCATTGTTTTGTGCGTTGAAAGTTCGATTTGGCGGCCTAAGTGTCCACATTTAGTGCACGGCCAAAATGATCATATTACATTGCTGTGATGTAGAAAACTGTGAAGACACTTCGGCAACTAAGGTCGAGAAAGGAGAACTCAACAAGAGAGGACGAAAGTATTGTGTGGCTGGAGAGGCGAATAATGTTAACTAAAAGAATAATACACTTGCACCGGGTTTTTCAATACACGTCTCGCCAAAAGATGTAGCTGTATGACCAAAATGGACGCGTTTTGATCGTTGACATCGAGGAGATTTACTCTTCGAATTTTTCTTCTATAGGAGTTTGTTCGTACATCTAACAAGCCTATGAAATACTCAAAAAAAGAATCATGTCATGGGCACTTCAATAAATGCAGGAAAAGTACATTCAGCGCTCTAAAGCTAAATACATCACCTTGAATTGACAAACCTCCACGCTGTTCACCAGAAAAACATTTTATTCTATTTCACTCGATTATAAGACCAAACCTTAAGTGAACCACACTCTGCGAGAAAAAGAAGAAAACTTAATACGAACAGAATACTTAACTATAACTAATATATACGGAAATGGTCCATCGCAAATAGCACAAAAGGATTACAAAGTGCAAAGAATTCTAATGAACGTCATGATCCTACTGACTAACACGATTGTCTCCTGTTCACACACTAATAAGCGCAATTGTCTCCTGCTCATTCTCCCTCACGTTGATATGACATGGCATATCAATAAAACAATAATACCGATGATAAGGGGTGCCTTCGCAGTCACTACTAAACTGTCCAGAGGTTTCTGAAAGTATTCGTCCTCATCTCGATCATTTCCAAGTACGTTCATAACAGTTCGAGTGGCATAACTTGGTAACAGGCCTAAGGAGTTCTTCTTTTCCCACCTGCACTTTAGCGATTCTTACGTGCCCATCTTTTCCCAGATAGACTTCGACGATTCGACCAAGAGGCCAGTATCCTCGTGGTGTCGTAGGTGACATAACTAACACAACGTCATCAACTTTAATGTCTCGCCCGACGTGGAGCCACTTTCTTCTGACGTTCAGAGTGGGTAACCACTCCCGAATCCAACGATGCCTGATATGTCTAACTAGTTCCTGGACCCTTCTCCATCTCTTCTTTGGGTTGAATGTGGTCTCATCTACTGAATCTGGTGCAAACGGTCCTCCAACCTGCCCAAAGAGGAAATGATTCGGCGTTAGCGGGACTTCATCTTCAGGATTAGCTGATTGATAGGTCAGTGGTCTGGAGTTTAGAAGTGCCTCCGCTCCAGTGAATGCTGTCATTAACTCTTCATCTGTGATGTCTACGTTGCCCAGGGTTGCATATACTGCACGTTTTGCGCCCTTGATCATAATCTCATGGGCTCCTCCAAAATGAGGTGCATGTGGGGGATTAGATTGCCATTTGATTCCTTGGTTTGCAGTCGATTTAGCAATCTTCTCTTGATCAAGCTCCTTGACCAAATCGCTTAACTCCCTATTACCTCCAACGAGATTACCCCCATTGTCGCATAACATCTCTCTTGGAAGCCCCCTCCGATTGACCATTCTGTAGAAGGCATTGAGGAACGCATCAGTGTCAAGTGCATAGGCCATTTCCACGTACACTGCTCGGGACGCCAAACAGGTAAACAAACACAGGTTACGTTTCTGCCGACGTGGCCTTCTTGCCTGCACAGTAATAAATGGTCCACCATAATCCACGGCAGTCTGTGCAAATGCTCTCAAGGAATATCGGAGTCTAATCTGTGGGAGGGGAGCCATAATTTGTTTTGCAGCCTTAGCTTTTCTTCTTCGGCATTCGTTGCACTCCTTCTCCCATTCACAAATTTCTTCACGACCTGAAATGATCCAGAAGCGTGTTGATAAAGCCGCCAGCAATTGATTCGTTCCACCCGCGTGATCGTCTTTTTCGTGATAATGTTTGTCAATGAGCTTCGTCACATAGCTCTTGCGAGGCAAGATTATCAGGAAACATGCATCCTGTGGTAGAAATTCTGCATACCTAAGGCGGCGATTGCACCTCACTTGGCCTTCCTCATCTAGCCATGGTTGTAGGCCAAGCAACTTGCTCTTTTTTGGTAACTCTCGTCGCTGAAGTGCCAAATACTCAATGGGAAATGCCTTCCTCTGTGCATCTTTAATCACTTGAACTGCAATATCTTCAATCTTCTCCAAGTTTAAGTCTCCTCTCTCTCTGTTGGGACTTCTACAGTTATCTACGAAACGATGAACCCATGCTTGAATTCTTATCAACTTTGTCCAACTTGAGAAACGTTTTGGATCGAGACGCCATAGCTGACCATCTTCATGAAGTGAAGTCATTGTCCAATTTTCGTTATTTCGGCCTGTTTGTGAACTTCTTGGAGTTGCTTTCTTGATTTCCGTTGCTTCCGAAACCTTTTCGGTGTCAATTTGATTCTTAGCCCAGTGTGACTCTTCCTTTTGAACGAAATCTGGGCCACTCCACCACTTTCTCTCCTTAGCCATGTCTGATACTCTCATACCCCTTGTAGTAAAGTCAGCAGGATTCTCTTTGGTTGGCACGAAATGCCACTCCTTGGGATTTGTTAGGCTTTGAATTTCTCCCACTCGGTTTGCTACGAAAGGTTTATATCTCCGACTTCTACCTTTTATCCACCACAGCACATTCATGCTATCGGACCAGAAGACTGCTTGACCCAATGCCCCGCTGTAAACTTTGGAAATTGACTGGGTCAACCTTACGCCTAGGATTGCTGCCATCAGCTCCAAACGAGGTATACTTGTTGCCGCAAGTGGTGCTACTCTTGACTTGGCTGCAACTAGTCGACTGGATACTAATCCACTCTTGTAGATAACCCTCAAATAGACAACAGCACCATATGCATCTTGTGACGCGTCTAAAAAGGTATGTAAGGTTTCTGACACCAAAACTTCTTCTTGGCCAAACCGTAAACATCTGGGAATCTTGATCGCTGGTAACTCTTCTAACTCACCGAACCATTCTTGAGACTTGTGGATCAACTCCCTTGGGCATAACTCGTCCCATTCAAGTCCTGCCACCCACATCTCCTGCATCATGACCTTGGCTCGAATTGCAAATGGCGTCAAAAAACCAACTGGGTCAAATAATATAGCGATTCTCTTCAGAAAATTCCATTTAGTGAGTTGAGAGTTTTCTTCGAGCGAAGTTGCTGTGAACGTGAACACGTCTTCTTCTGGAAGCCACCTGATTCCCAGAGTCTTCACTGTTGGTAGGGGGTCCTTGTTGATGTCTACCTCGGATGCTCTGTCCTCGATCGGTATCTTTTTTAGAACCTGGGGTGAATTGGACAACTATTTACGAGCGTGCATTCCTGCCTTGCTCCACAGCTTATCTAACTCCTTGAATAACTCCATACCCTGACTGTCGTCCAACACCGAGTCCATACTGTCATCCATATACGTTGACTTTAATACAGTCTCTGAAGCTAAAGGGTAGCTCATCCTTGTACTTCTCAGCATGTGTTTGGGAGACAAATTGAGCTTGGAAGGGTGATAAGTTAATTCCAAACACGACTCGGTTGAACTCGTACTCTTCTGGTTTTCTCAGCTGATCCAAAGATCTCCATACGAACCGTTGAAATGATCGGTCCTTAGGTGCAACTTCAATTCTCAAATACATCTCAGCGATATCACAAATGAGTGCAACAGGGTGTCTTCTGAATCGACGTAAAACGTCGTTTAAATCTCTCTGCAATTTCGGTCCTTGATAAATGACGTCATTGAGGGAGATTCCTCCAAACTTCGCAGAGGCATCAAACACGATGCGAGTCTTTCTTGTGGTTCTGTCCAGTCTCACAACAGGAAAGTGTGGAAGGTACCATTTCCTCGCAGGTTTTTCTTCGGCTGGGTCGACTTTACAAATGTAGCCCTTCTCCAAATATTGAGTGATGCTTTCCGTGTAGGCTGCTGCGATCTCTGGATTCTTCAGTAAACGTTTCTCCGTGTTGTACAATCTCCGAAGGGCCATGTCATAATTGTCTGGTAGGTTAGAAACGTCTTGCTTCCATGGAAGTGCTACTTGGTATCTTCCATCCCAATACTTAAGGGACTTTTCCACCTGTTCTAATGCACATTGTTCATCAGGATTTAGAAGGGGTCGCTTATGTGATGTGCTAGGATTCTCTATCTCCCAGAATTGTCATAGTAAACTACTAATTTCGCCTGTGTCTCACTGTTCTAGTACAAAGTAGGTGTGTGCAAAGCTTGACTGATAGGCATCTCCTTCAAACCCACTAACTGTTCCTGTACATGTCCATCCCAATGGCGTAAGTCTTGCTACTGGTTCCCTGGGTTGCCCCCAAACATCCTTGAACGAGTAGTGTAGTTCAGCATAATCACCTCCAATCAACAAGTCTACTATTGGACCAATGCCTGGGTTTGGAAACTGTATCCCTTTCAAGTAGGTACAATTTACTGCATACTTTCCCCAGTCAATAACTTTCATGTTTCCTGTGACTCGATCGGCTGTGAATGCACTTATCATAACTTTCACATTTCCATCCAAACTTTCCAACTCGACCTCAACTGGCATAGTCTCGAAGGTTTCAATCTGTCCATTTAGAACACTCACAGTTACACTTTGAGGATGCCCTTGAAGTTTAAGCTCAGCGGCTACGTAAGCATTTAAATACGTCTTCGTTGAAGCATCATCCAGCAATGCGTTCACTTTAATTCTGCGATAGCCGTTCTTCAGAAACACTGGTAGTGTGCGCAAGGCCACAAATCTAGGTTGCACAATCTGTGAAGTCAATGTGGTGTGAGACCTCTCTGTTGCCTGCTCAACTGGGTTTTGGGGAAGAGTAAGAGTCATTTCATTAATCGTTTCGCTCTCTGCGAGGACCTGGGAACCACCTGATGCTCCTTGTTCCACATCACAGCGGTCAGGAGAGTTCACCTCTTCACTTCGATCTGGTGCTACAAGGTCTCTATGCAATAATTGGTTGTGAGTGTTCTCACAATTATTTATCCCGCAAATTCTCGATCTAACGCACGTTTCTCCATTATGATCTCCTAAGCAACGATAACACAGTTTAAGGCTCTTGGCAGCTTCCCATCTCTTTGGAAGGCTCATAGCCTTGAACCTGTCACAGCGCCAAACTCCATGATGACCACCCACCGCAAACTTTACAAGGTCGAAATCCAACTCCTCTCTGATTTCCTGAAGATTTCTGCGCGTTACCGAAAAAGGTCACTCCACCGTCCTTCTTATGTCCTTTCTTACTCAAACCATGAATTGTTTCCGATGCTACTGTCTGAAATTCTGCTTCCTGGATGACGAACTCCATCAACGTTTCCAATAACTGCCAACGGCCATTTTTATGAATCCACCGGTGATAATGCGCTAACATTTCTTCTGTCAATTTCTTACACAAACTGAGGTACAGTGATCCGCTTCCTAATTCATCATGCTGGCCAGCTTCCTTCAGGTTTACTACAGTAACATCTAAAAAATCTGCAAGTCTCTCGAGGTCCCTTGCATTTCCAGGCGAAGTGGGTTAAAGTTCTCCAATTCTTCCAAATGCGAGGCAACCCTGACACCGTTTGCCGCCAAATTTTCGTTCCAATCTTTCTTTTGCCGTTTCATAAGCCGTCGCAGAGTAGCCCAAAGGTTCCACGACCTTTAATGCTTCGCCAGATAAATATTGACGTAACTGAAGCAATTTATACTCTGGTGTAGCAGGTGCCTTATCCACACACGCCATGAAAGCCATTTTCCAACCCTCATACAATCTTTTATCACCAGTGAATACGGAAATTGAAACACGCTAAAGCTGATTCCACATATCCTTACCAAGCGATGGCGTTGAACGACCTTCTTCCAAATTGTTCGAAGAAATTTTTCTTGTTTCCAGTCCTTTGAACTCCGACTCTCTCAAATTTTGAAGTTCCCCATCAACAAATAAATGACTTCGATACTGGTGATGTAATTCTTCCAAATTTTCTTTGCCACGAGCGCTATCTTGTTCTCGCTTAATTTGCTCCTCTAGAGTTTGCTTTTCCACGCTTTTCCTTAAGACGTTTTCTTCGACTTGACGTCCACGAGTATTTTCTGATGCGTCAGTTGCCAAACTCGATAGTTCTTCCTTCTGATTGTCTTGAGCCTTGTCATGAGCCTCGGAAAATTCCACTTCTGATCTGTCCATTTCATCGGTGAGCTTTTTGCGTTTCTCTTTCTATTTGCAGCTCAAATATTCTTGAGATAATTCTTCCATTGTTGACATTGCGCGTTCTTGCACTTCACAGAGCTTTTGACAAACCGCCTTGACTTCCCACCGACTGGGATAATCCTCTTCATCTAGAAGGCTCAACAACTTGTTCTTTATCCTAGTGAAAGCTGATTTATCCTTTGCCTTTTGCTGCTTTAAATTTTCGGTACGGTCCTCCTCTTCGTCCATCGCTTCGTTGTGCTTCCCGTCCACTGACATAATTAGAACCTCGCTCTGCTACCATTAAATGTTCACCGAAAAAACATTTTATTCTATTTCACTCGATTATAAGACCAAACCTTAAGCGAACCACACTCTCCGAGAAAAAGAAGAAAACTTAAAACGAACAGAATACTATACTGTAACTAATATACGAAAGACACCCCGAAACAAACAACAAACAGCACCAGGTCAAAATTGGATCAAGATTACACTCATTCCCTCAATCACATTGACAACATATGTGGCTCCTCCTCTTCAAGGGGGTAGTACCCACTAAAAAACACGATCAGCATTTTTTAAGCGAATTATCTTTCTTAGGTTTGAATAAATTAGGAAAAAAGGAAAACCAATTTTTTTCATGTTCGATTAGAGAACCAAACATTATAGGACACATTTACCAGAAATCCCTACAGGATTGCAATTCAATTCTTTTATCTTTATCTCAGAACAAGTCCTTATTCTTATTCAAGTCCTTATTCTTCCTTATTCAGGAAGTTTGGAAAAATACATAGGACTTTAGTCTGGACTTTTTGCACCGAAATGTGGTACAGCAATCCTTGTGTGAACGTGTCTTACCATTTCTTGTGAATTCACAAAACAAAACACATGACTGTGAGCCAAAGCTAGGTTTTGCCCTAAATGTCCGGCATAAATAATTATCATTCACCACTTTTTTCTAACCCACTTTTTGGCGTGATCTAGTAAGGGGCTAACATAGCGAGAGTATCCTTATGAGTCTTGGAAAAAACTGTCGAGACGAGCACTTCTTAAGCAGTAGTGAAATTAGGCTTACACAAAAAAGGCCTGCCCAGGATTTGCACCCATGACCCCTGCAACACTGGTGCAGTGCTCTTCTAACAGCAGTTCATATGTGATTTCCATATATTCGAATCCCACAGAGGCCTGAAATTTTTTGTAAGCCTTATTGTCACTACTGCTTAGGATGTGTTCATTACTGCGAAGATCGCTTTCATATTCACTTGTTAAACCGCAGTTCACATATATGATTTTCAGATATTCAGTCATTGATAATGAACTGTACCCCTCTTTTAACAAGCCATTGCTACCGCGTAAAATGTCTCAATGCACAAATTTACTGCGACGATTTATACGCTTTCATTAACTTTTAAGTTTTTTTTGTTTGGTTGGTGGCTAATGTAGCATAAGATTTCCTTTGAAACTACTTAAACTTTTCTGATTCCTGTGACTGCAAACACGTACATTTGTAGCTTGAATTTAGTCTCACCTTTGAGTTTCTAACTTGGTAACATTACGAAAAAAAAACGATAATTTGGGAGAGGTTTATCTTTCATGTTTGGCAGACCATCATATCAGTTTTCTAGTAAAGTATATGTCGGTCAATAAATATCAATTGACAATATTTCATATGTAACATGTAACGCACGAATGTGGCGTGCAGATTGCTTATCTTTCTTCATGATCTAAGCTGTAAGTGTTAGCTGTCACTTCTCAATCATTTATTCTTTGAAGTATTCCACGTTCATATTTTAACCTACCTTCCTCTGAATATTTATTGGCTCCTAGGTATTTGCCTACAACAGTATTATAATTCTTGTGGAAAATTTGACCATAATGCGCTCTAACCGTGCAGAGTTGTTTACCTCCATTCCTCGTGTCATCTACCATAAGGGAGTCGAATTTTTCTTCAAGGTATTGTATCTTACTTTTCATCTGTTGCGACTCTTGTCTGCTTTGCTCTGATGATAAAGGGGTAATGTTTAAGTCAGTTTTGAAAATAGGGACCTGCGGATGAAGATCAATGAATCAAGGAAGCCGTTCCACCAAAGTTATAAGAAAATTGCTTAATTGTGCTGCGGTAAAAACTCAGAAACAGGAATGTGGCGGACAGTTTGCTTATCTTTCTTCACGATCTAAGTTGTAAGTGTTAGCTGTCACTTCTCAATCATTTATCCTTTGAAGTATTCCATGATCATATTTTAACATAACTTTCTCTGAATATTTATTGGCTTCTAGGTATTTGTCATCAACAGTATAGTAATTCTTGTAGAAAATTTGACCATAATGCGCTCGAACTGTGCAGAGTTGTTTACCTGTATTCCTCATTGAGGAGTCAACCTTTTCTTGAGAGTCTTGCATCTCACTTTTCATCTGTTGCATCTCACTTTTTATCTGTTGCACCTCTTGTCTGATTTGCTCTGATGATAAAGGGGTAATGTTTAAGTCAGTTTTGAAAATAGGGACATGCAGATGAAGATCAAGGAATCAAGGAAGCCCTTCCACCAAAGTTATAGGAAAATTACTTAATTGTGCTGCGGTAAAAACTCAGCAACAGGAATGTGGTGCGCAGTTTGCTTACCTTTCTTCACGATCTAAGTTGTAAGTTTTAGCTGTCGCTTCTCAATCATTTATCCATTGAAGTATTCCATGTTCATATTTTAACGTAACTTCCTCTAATGCGCTCTAACTGTGTAGAGTTGTTTACCTCTATTCCTCATTGAGGAGTCAAACTTTTCTTGAGAGTCTTGCAGCTCACTTTTTATCTGCTGCATCCTACTCTCCATCTGTTGCATCTGACTTTCCACCTGTTGCATCTGACTTTCCACCTGTTGCACCTCTTGTCTGATTTGCTCTGATGATAAAGGGGTAATGTTTAAGTCAGTTTTGAAAATAGGGACATGCAGATGAATGTCAAGGAATCAAAGAAGCCCTTCCACCACAGTTATCGAATGGGTTTTCTCGTTCAACTCCTTCCTTCCTTTCTCCTTCCTCCCATAGTTTAGATACATTAAGGTGGGCTGTGGTCAAGGAGACTCCTTGCTGCTCCTGACATGAGAAGCCACTTCCACCCTGGGCAGCTACCTCTTCTTTTGAGGCAACTACCCCATCGCACTACTTGCTGGGTATTCAGTTTAAAGTAAGAAAGTGTTGCAGCAAAATGTAAGCTCAAGTGGTGCACAGAAAACCCTTTTTGACTTCTATTCGATCACAAATCTGTCTGACCTTTTTGCACTGAAACATGCGAGTTTGAGTAGCTCAGTGGTGGTACTGCAATCCTAATGTCAGCGTGTCGTACACGCCCCTTTTTCGGGACCTACTCTTACACGATGAGCAAGTTACAGCTGTACGTCCAATTTCCAAGATTGAAATTTTCCACATACAACACCTGTAAAATGTGCACTCCATACCTTGTTCAAGATCTTTAAAATTTGTTTGAATCAGGACATGCAACATTGTCATAGGTGAGGGGTAGGGGAGGGGAAGCACCATACATCAACAGTCTTCATACTATTGCACTAGCTCTGATCTCACTACTGCCAGACCTTATCTCAAATTGTGCTCCAGGAAGCGACTACCTATAAGAGTATTACTCGTACTCTTAGAGAGAGGGCCATTCCATTGTATTTAACTTTCCCTACAATTCTTCACTGAATAAGAGCCAAAGCAGAGTTTTTCTTAAAATGTCAATGTAGCATAATTAACTGTCATTCTTTGCCTTTTGAATTTTTTGTTGGCTATAACATGTACCTTTCATCTCTCTGAACATTTCGTTGAATTGCTTCTTCTCCTTTAGCAGCTGCTTGTGGCATACTCCTGTGCCAGTTTCTTTAATATATCCTTCATGTTGCCTCCACAGCTTTGGCAGCCTCCTGTAGTTTTCTTTTGTATCAGTTTCTTTGATATTGTCATCATCTTGCTTCCACTGCTTTAGCAGCTGCGTGTAGTGGTCTTTTGTTTCAAGGTCCATGCTCTCATTCTTAAGCTTACTGATTGCAACTCCATAACCTGCTCCTGCGAGTCCTAATATGGCACTGCTGATATCTTGCCAGTAGCTGTTGAATTGTGTATCATCCACAGAGGCTTCGCTGGCATGGCCGTACACAGTATTGCGGTAGTACTTCAGCCTGGCTATGTTGGCCTCCTTACTCATATCTGTAGGTGGGGGAAGACTGTCCCATCCAGTGCTGGGAGGAACCAACCCACAGATATTCCTCAGTAGCACCACCAGTAACACGATGTCAAAGTCTGCTGATGAAACAGATGATGGAACATTTGGATACAGCTTCCCCCATTGTGTCGGATTCAAAACTCTCTTCTTCTTCAGAAACTGTAGTTTTGCATGCACTGGCTGATGCGTCAAAACTAAATGAAGACTCGTTGGAGGGTGTATGGCATCAAAAGTGTCTCTCAAGGCTTGGGATCCAACATCCACCACAAGACGACACAGTCTAGCAAAGTTGAATGTCTCATTAGTAGATGATGGTAAAACAGCTGATGCCATGTCCTGTAGTAAAGATCGATATATCCAGTGTTAGTCTTTACAGAGTGAAACTTTTTTTTAAACAGCCACGGTGGGGTACTGGAGATTCTGATCTGTAGCTCATTAAGTATTATTCTTACTTATCTTAAAGAAAGGACACTGACTGTAGCATAGCTGGTGGCTTTCATTTGAGTACATAAGCAGGACAGGCTAATAACGGCTGACATTTTGAGCACTCTACCAAATCATTCTGGTGTATTCCAATAGGTATTTGAATAAGTTCAACTCACTTAGACATTTGAGGAATGAACAACTGCAATACATTGTTTTATTTCCTGCTGGAGCCAGTTTCTCAAAGGTCCCAGTAACTTAACGGGCCCATAAGGCTGTTCTGTTTTTATTAAAGATGAGGGTTTCTAAAGTTTTGAAAATCATACAATACAACTATCAGCTAGAAAAAAAAAATGGACTGGTTAGGTTGCCAATGCCAGCTCTCTATCGTTATTTTAAAATACGGTTTTGGGCCCGTTAAGTTACCTAGACTTTTGAAGAATGGGTCCCTGGTAATTAATTACAAAATTTCCTATTAAAAACAATTAGCCACAAAACTAAACGAATCTAGGAAAGAAGCTGAATGGTAATTACATTTCTTTCTAGAATGGGTGGCCTTTATATCAGAGCCAATGATTAGAGGCTAACACTCAAAACACCAGCCTTGCGAATTCTCTTCCAATTATCATTATCACCTCAGTTGATAAAACTAGATTATCTAGCAATTATCACAATGACCAAAACTTCTGATCTGTCTCGTTTCTCCATTGCTCAAAATCAAATATGGCTGCGTTCCTTGTGCATCAGCTCTCTCGATCACTGAAGATGAACCCGAAGAGGAACTACTTGAATCACTCGAGTCAGACGCCATTACAATCGCTCGAATGTTTTTCGATTCTCCTTTCTGTCACTGATCACGTGATTAAAAAGGAGCAAGTTCAACTTCCGGTCTTTGAATTGAGTGAATTTTGCACTTTTACACCTAGGAGTTCGACCGAATGAAAGGTTTTAGGGAATTTTTTCGTCCTCCAATGGTTGTTTTGATAAAAGATCTACATTTAAATTAAATGGCACAATTCTAGGAGAAAACTCCAATCTATCTATAGACCTACGAATGTGTGTGCGCGCGTGCACGCACGCACAGACACGCACATTAAAAATGTATAAACAGAAATTCAGAGTTAAAAAATTAATGTAGAAACCTGACTTAAAAAAATGCTGCAGATGATGCCTCTCGAAAATCAAGAGGGAGACTATTCCACTCTTCAACTATTCTCCTCTTAAAGCTAAATTTAAATCAATTATTCCTAGAAAAGCTGGTTAAAAGGTTTGGAGTATCCATACTTCTCATTGCATATCTCCCCTGACAACATCCCTAGAGAACCGAACCCTAGTATCAAGGGTCAGACGAACATGATTAACCACCTTAAAAAAGAAAACAACATCCGCAATAAATCTCCTATCCTCTAAAGATAACATGCGGAGTTCACGTAACCTAACCAAATAATTGTAATCACTTTTGAGAATAAATTTGGTTGCCTTCCTTGAATTGACTCCATACGACTAATGTTACTCTTCGTATAAGGATTCCACACCTTGGCGAAACTTGGAAAGAATACTGTAAACTTAGCTTTGAAACTCGGCTCACCTTTTCAATAGTTCTTACGCTCAATTATATACTTTGCCAAAGCCAAAGTGAAGTTGCACACGATATGTTGTTTTTCGTTGGCGGCTGCGTGGCGACTAAGTTTTGTTTATAAAAGAGCTTCTGCATCAAGGCTAAAAATGAGACGGTTTTTGAATAGTTGAGGCAGTGATCCGATAACTTCACATTACCAGGTTTGTAAAGCAGTAGCTTGAACCATATAAATCGGCAGGTCAACGGCATTTTTGTCAGATCCGTCGAGAAGACACAACATGGGTACTCGCGTAAGTGACACGGCCATTCTATCCCCAATCGTTATTATTGAATTTTGTATCAAGTTGGCCAAAACAGTTCTACATATAAACCTGGAACACACTGCCGTAACATGTGTAGGATTGAAGCCCCCAAAGTACAAGAACTGGCCTCAAAAAGAGGAAGAATATGCCGAGGTATGTTTTAAGTACAATATGTCCATTTTAATGATAATATTTCTTGATATTATAAAAGTAGCAAATTATCCTCAGTTATTTTAAGACAATGAGTATTGGTCCAGCCGGGGCTCGAACCCTCGACCTCCCGCACTACACAATCTGGCGCCCTGACAAATTGAGCTAACCGGGGAGCGGTTAGACAATACGGTGCTTTACTCATATAAATCAAATTAAATCATAATTTAAATGAAATATTTAGCGCGGGAAAAGTTGCATAAAAAGAAGACAGGCAACAAATTATCCATAGTTGTGATGGGAAACAAATGCTTGTTGGGAAAGTAAAATAGTCGCTGCTCAGAAAAACAGCAACAAAGGTGGAAAGTGAAAACTTTATTTGGATAAATATTCTGGTCTTCTCGGATAAGGACGAATAAACCGTAGGCCCTGTCTCCTGCAGGACTCGGGGTAAGAGACGTTAATTTCCCACGCACGAGATTACTGTGTGGTGGAAGTCCTCCCCTGGGGTGGGATGGGTGGGTTGCTGTCTTACGTTTCATGCATGAGCCTCTGGCTCGGACAATCTGGGTAACTGTGCCTCAGGTAAAGACAATAACCTTAATTGATTGATTGTCTTTTCATGTATTGCAACAGCCTTGAATGAATCAACTGTCTTCTAAACTTGATTTCTTATGTCCAGAAGCTGTCTGAGTTATGGAACAAAGAATTCTTGCTAGGTGTTCATGGAGGTGATAATGGTGGTATAGAAAGGAACTCAATGATTATGATGATTAATCTCCCAAGTTAGAAATGTCAAGGGAAAATTATTAGATGTTTATTAAAAATGTTTAGGAGAAAATTGATTAGATTAAGTCAGCTGTCAATCCCCAGTCAACACTAAGTCATGAGGAGTAACCAAAAGCTTGTAATTAGCCTGTGTACAGCTGTGCCCATCCAGTCAAATAAAAATCAGGGAAGGGATATTCCAAAACACGAACAACAACAGCACCACACAGATGTCCCTTTCCCAATTTATTACAGGGGAGGGGAACAGTTGCATGCAGGCTACTTGTGGTCAATAAGCAATTATCCGCTAGTTTCACCACCAGGTTCTATGATGTCTTAAAAAAAAAAATGGTTACAACTCAAATAGGAATATTTCATAACAATGTTCTGTGGGGATATGATGTAGTATCACTGATGAGGATCATAATTATTTCCTTACAGTGGTTCAAGGGCATGTGATGTGTGTGATTCCTTAAGCACATACAAACTATGTAAAGCAAAGCTAATCTGAAAAAAAAAATTTCTGGAAGAAGAAGAGTAGCTGATTATTTGCATAAGTTAACATCATACACATGGTGAAATATACATTTGGTAAACATACATGTGCCTGTGAAAGTTTCAAAAGACTGAGTTAAAAGAAAAAATAATAATAAAATAAACCAGTGGATCATTGAAAACGCTTTGGGATAAACAAATACAGTTGTTTGGGAAATTAAAGTAGCAGTTGTAGTAACAGGTACAAGCAAAAGTACTGAAGACATGTAATAGAGATCTCCAATCAATTGACAACAATGTACGAGAGTTTACCAAGCCCACCCCTCACAGTTTGTGACATTGAGAAGTACTAACAAATAAGGTGGTGAACACGTACGTGAAAGAAAAAAAAGAACAACAACGTTATGAGAGTGCGAGTTTTTCTATGGGCTGTTTTATTGTTTGGCTCAACAATAAAGACTTCCTAGAAGTAACTGTGTTCATGAGGCAATCATGTTGGACGGTCTCAAATATTACATTTTCAACGCCCTCAATGAATCACCTTCAGTAATCTTTGTCGAGCCTTGGCGCAGCAAGCAAATCACAATTTTTTCGATTTCCACTTCCTTCATAAACACCATCATTAAAAAGGTGTTATTCTCTCCACCAGAGATTACTTGTTTATAAAACTGCAAGTATATGAAATGAACAAATGTTTTCATATTTTGATTACAAACAGCATGCACAAATGATTGATTTCACCCGTTCTCAATGGCCCAGAAAATCAAAAAGGTGAAATGACGAAAAACCAGGTCTATAAAGGCAAAATTCTCATCCAACCTAATGGTTTATAAAATGAACAGGCACCGCATGTGGGTGCAAAGTGAGTGTGAATATTTTCCCAACACAACAATTACCTGTATCGCTTCATGTTAAATGAAACCTAAATGATTTACTATTATCTAGTCTTCAGTCCAAAATAAGTTCATTTGCCGATGATACTCAGATCTTTGATATTAATAATGATGTTTCCCTATTACATGGACACCTACAAACTGATCTTGTCACTGCTCATTCTTGATTTTGCTCTAATGGCCTTGTGATGAATCTGGATAAATGTTCTACCATGTGGCTGGGTAAGAGCAATGACACTAATATACCCTGTTTTTCCATTGGGAGACAGGAGATCAGTTTTGTGGGGGGTGCTAAGCTACTGGGTGTAACCATTGATCATGACTTAAAGTTTAATGAACATATAGGTAACATAGCACGGAAAGTTACCAAGCAAATTCAAGTTTTACAAAGACATAAGAAATTAATTAACATCCATGCCAAGGTTAAATTATATAATGCTTATCTTTTGCCTCATTTAAATCATTGATCTGTTGTATGGCATCATTGCGGAAAAGGTAGATCCAACAAATTGGAACAACTTAATGAACGTGCGTTGCCCTTTATTTACAATGATGACAAAAGCTCATATGAGGAATTATTATTGCTGGGCAATTTAACCAAGGGCGCTGCCACCTATAAAATAAAGCTGCATAATGCCCAACTCGATCTTGCTTGTGGCCAATCAGAGCCTTAACCACTGCAGCACATTTTTTGGAACATAGCCTTAGGACAACATAAGCAGCAACTTATGGAAAAAAGTCACTGAACCTCTCACTTTACGTTTTTGTTTTGTATTACGCAGAACCATATGAGTGTTTAGACTCAAAAGCAAAAATTAAACCACTTATTTACAGGTATTCCATTGAAAATTCCACAAATGTTCCTGTAATCAAGCCGAGTAAACATCCACTTTGGCAATAAGGCACATTTTCTTACACCTTAGTGAGCAAAATTACAATACACACAAAATATGATAGAAACTACCGACTGTTTCGAATTCTGAGAGACCTTAACTCAAGAATTTTGGCTGCCAAATTATGCCATTACAAACATGGCCACTAGTTCTTTTTTGAAATAACACCTGGCCAATGTCCCAGATATTGATGTCAAATGCAAACATGTAATGGGAGCTGTATTTTGACTTTGCTTCCTCCCCTTTTTTTTTTCTTGTTTTGATGCATGAAGTTTAAATAAATTGGCATCCAAATGATGTAAAAGGTGAGAAACTGAGTGCCTTACCTTGATAGCTGATCTGTTTTAATTCTGCTAAGCAAAGTTTACACAGCATTTATGAAAGTCACCGTCTAGGCAATGCTTAGATTGTGGAATTGATCATTTTAACACAGAACGTCCATAATCAAGTTTGGACCATATTTGACAACCCTTTAAAGAACAATAGTGACTTAGGCCAACTAGGTGGTTGATTTAGACACAGTTTATGGGGCCCTTTCATTGTAGATTACAGTAGTGATGCAAACATTGAAAGCCAAAGCAAAGAAGACTTGGAAAAACACAAAAAGAAACTTGCAAAAGAACTTGGAAAGAAGGCCATTATTAACTGAAAGGCTGTAGAGCAGTTAATACATCTCACCTTTCAGACAAAAGAGAGAAAGTCTCTCAAATTACAGGGCTGCCTACCATTTCTAAACCTTTACTTTGAAAAGGAAAAGGTGGCAAGTACTTGATCAATGGTTTGTTGGATTAGGCATTTATCTCACTGTTGAGAACCACCCAGGTCTATACATGTCAACACTTTCATGTAACCAAATTTGTCCCTACAAGTGTGCAGCAAATGTATACTGTTGTAATCAAGTACTGTTAGTAAAGGGGGGAGTGAGGGTGTCTGTTAACCCATTCTGAAATACTGACCAGATCTCGTATCAATTTAAAATTATCATGGGAAATAGAGATTCAGATTTCAAACTTGATGCAGAAAAAGTGTAAAAGTGACCTATTTCAGTCCTCAACAGGGATCCATAAACCACTTTCAGGCATGGATGCACTGCTTCTGACAATGAAGGTAAGTAAGGAAACAGCAGTAAATACTAACTGATCAGCACATTGTTTAAGAATTGTCTTGGACTGTAGCCCAGCACAATTTTCATAAGGCATGAAAAAGAATTTGTTTCAATATGTACATCAATTGTCAAGTTTACAATGGTACATCTCAAATCCATTGAGTTAAGAATGTTCAGCACATAAAATTACCCTGTTGCTAGGATGAGATTTGAGCCTAGCAATATAGTTACCATGTTTGACTGCTTAAACACCTTTTATTGATACAAACAACTTAGGTTTGATCATGATCAAGGTACATGTGAGGCTCCACAGCTTACAGTCACTTTATTTTAAATTTATTTCAAAATGTACATTAATTGTCAAGTTTATGATGGTACACCTCAAACAACTTATCAGCTTTGAAAATACCTTCTCTTAAAAAAATCAATTTCCCTCTGGACCTGTGACTGATAACAGACTAAAATCCACAGCTTAAATGAAAACAATGGAATTTTAACAAAAATGAAGTACAGGAAAACAATGCAAAACATATGCTTGGTAACCACTGTCATTTAACTTGGGAAGTCTGGACACTAGACACAAACACTGGCCTAATCAGGACTACATTTTACAGAAATGAATGATATATGTATTCATTATTCAATACCATTGAAAAAAGCAAAAACTATATCATTTTCATGAAAAAGCAAAAACTATTTATGTGAGCATTATTAAACTCTTGTGCTGAGCCTGTGGATAAAAAAAATTGCCAAATAAATAGATTTTCTGGGCTCAAACCACCTCTGAGTGAACAACAGCCAAAATTGTAGTTTTCAGCCTTCACTTTGTCTGATAACAGGAAAAACTGTGATTGCAAAACAAGCCCAAAACAACAGAATTCGCCAAAAAAACACAACGGACACAAAAGTAGTGGGTCAGTTTTAACAATCTTAGGAGTAAATTTTTCATATTTTGAAATAATTAGTTGTTAATAGACCATATTTTGTTGCCCATACTATTCTTTTTAACACATTCAAATTCTCAATGGTTTGAAGTGTAACTTTCATAAAATAATATTTCACTTTTCCTTGTGACACAAGCTTCGGATGCCTGTGTTTAAACACGAACGCACGCCATAAAAGGAGCCTTAGGTCCCACTGGAACATTTGTCAATCAACCGTCATGCGATGTAGAACTCTCAGAGTCAAGTCAGCTTGAGCTACAGCTACTCCAAAGCAATGAACAGCAGGCACATTCCTCAAAATTGTTTTATGTCTTAATCACAATATAAGAATTTTTGAGATTTGTATTTCCTTTCTCCAATGGAAACTGTCTTTATTTGTGGCAGTAAATTTGATATCGAAGTAGATGGTTCACATGTTACCTCATGCTGCCATGCTGGTGGAAGTAAACAATAGATATCTCGTTAGCTCCTTTCGTTCGTCTACCAGCATTTAAATTTGACCTGCACATGTCAACGGTGAGTGACAAATGAGCCTAGGTCTTCCCAGGGAAGACTTCCTTATATAGCGTGCCTTTGTGTTTAAGGATAAGCAAGACCTTCATGGACCAAATTTTGCTAAAATTTTTTACTACCTCAACAAAGCATTGCTATATTTTAACTACAGTTTCCCAAAAAACTATTATAAAATATTGAAATCCAGTTAGGTTATTTACATAAATGTTTTCTCAAACTTAATTCAATGCGCCACCAAAGTGTGAAAAGCCAACTATAATGTGAGAACACCAATGACTCGGATGATGTTTTATGGAGCAGAACATCCAGGGAGTTCACTTGCATAAACATCTTTGTACACCAGTTTCATGTTTCTCGTGGCAGTTTGCAAAATAGTGAGTAAAGTAGAGTTAAAAAAATATAGGAAAAGAACTCTTGGGTTAAAGCTAGAAAAAAGCTTGGCCACAAGAGCCAGATATTAAAGGATTTCAGTGGAGAATGAAGAAAAAATCTTGCCACATCGGACAAGGGCTCGTGATACAAGCAATTTTCTAAAGATGACATCTGAGATTCTATCGCTTCCTTTAGGTTTGTTAGCGTTGAACTTAATGATGCTGCTAAAACATTTCTTTGTCTTGAATTTCTTTAGACTACTTTTTTTTGCTATCATGCACTACTGCAGGATAGTTTCCCACAGAACATGTTTTCATTGAGAGTCGCCTAAGACTCCTCCCCTGTGTTTCTATTGGTGGACAGCATTTCAAGTTTTTCAGCTTGTCGACATAACTTGACAAGTGGTTATCTGAAGCGTGAAATGTTTGAAAAACTTTTGAGGTGACAAAACCCCTCTCTGTTTTTAAAGTGCCCATGACATCAACACAATTTTCACTCCAATTAAAAATATAGTATCTCTAAAATACATCTACTGAAAACAAAGTCTGTCTAAAATATTTTTACTCCTAAAATTTTAGCTCAAATTGGACCTTTTTTTCGATCAAATAGTGGTTGGAGACTGGGATCGAGTTTTTGGCAGTATCAGGGTGTCCAGCGGCATGGTTGCCCAAAAAAATAGGAAAATAGGAATTTCAGGATTGAGAAAATAGGAAAAATAGGAAACTTTGCACTAAAAAATAGGAGAAAAATAGGAAAATCAATAGTACTTTCGTCAACAAAGGTAGCCTCCCCACACGCCAGCTGCTATCCCCGATTCACCACTTTAGTCGATCAACAGCAGTGAACATAAATAGGACAAAACGAGTTTTTTGGTTTGAATTTTTAATCTTCCTGATATCCCTCACTGAGATAAATCTATCAAAAAATCTGTACAACATAACTTTATTTACTTTGATTTCCCTAATTTTAAAGTAACAACTGAACTGCTTCACCTTCACTTTTGTTCAGAAACAAAGTTGGCTTTTCATTATGTTTATAACTTCAACATTAATCCAGCAGATGATTGCTAACACAAGAACATTTTAGTCTTTACTGAGCTGGCAGAGCACCTGCGTAGAGGTGTAAAATGACAGTTTACATTTACTTTGACTTTCTTTTCTTTAATGGTACAGCAGAAACATCCGCTGGTAGAGCTTTCTCCAGCAACTTCTGATTGTTTATGTTAACCTCCTTTTGCTTCTCCCTTACTGCTTCAAGCTTCCTCTTTGCCTTTGCCTGATTCGATTTGGCCGTTTCAATCATGAGACATGCAACTTTTGCACCTTGTGAATCAACCTTGGAACCTGAAGATAGAGCAGCCTGCAACTTACATGTGCCCTCTGACAGTAGCTCATTAGCCGTTTGCATTTCATCCATTGCCTCCTGCTCCTTCTTGTCTAGCCTCTCTCCTTTATCTCTCAACGATCTTGTCTCTTTTCTTAACTTCTCCTGGTCTCTTTTCCTTCGTTCTTCCTCTTCAGCTTTCAATTTCTCATCCACCTCCTTTCTCTTCTTCTCGGCTTCTTCTTCATCCAGCCGCTGTCTATGATGCATGTGCGCAGATCGCACAGCAGTTAGAAGACCATCTGTCAGGGCAAATTTTTCCGGTCTCAGGTTTTCAGGATCATAAAACTTCAAAGCATCTTTCACAGATCTAAGGCCAACAATGGTCCTCTCTCCAAGAAGTGTCCTTTCTTGCGTCACAATGCGNGTTTGGAAGATACGGTTAGCCACCTTTTCACCCTCTGCATGACCAAAAAATAAAGAGGTATAGAAGTTTATCCAGACTTCATTATGAGTCGGGGACCAGTAACGAAAGGTAAGATCCATCTGTTTCTTGACCTGCGTGGTGGAGGTTTCGTCAAAGTGTAAACAAAAAGGCAGTTCTGACTTCTTTACATCATCAACAATTATCTGGTGATAGAAACACAAACACTTATAGTAAGTTACCTTTTTTTATTCATACACCAAATTAAAAGATGAAATACTGACATAAACTTTCATTGATATCAAGAATCACACATAAATATGCACTCATAATTTGCGTATTCAAATTGCACTTTATATAATACCTGTGTGCAGTGAGGGCCCAAGCCTTCCCCAATAACATAGGATGCACGGCTTCTACCCATTGAAAAACTTGAAGCAATCTTGCTGTCAGGAAACATCGCTTTAAATGTGTTGCCAAGATTGTCAACTGAGCGAAAGCTAAAGTTACATGACGCCAACTTTGCTAACCAAATCACCTCTGCTTGCAAGCTGGCATTTTTGTAATTGATAATGGACAGCTGTCCAGACGAACTTCTCCTGTGCTCTGGCAGATCACAACGGTTTGAGATGCCTGCACTTGGTTGACTCTGCAGTACAAACAACTTTCCTTGAGACTCATCCCTTGCAGGTTTAACAGCCTGAACATGCTTTGCTTTCCTCGCATGTTGCAATATCTGCGCTTTTCCAGAGTTGTCACAAAGAAACTCACTATCACAAAACCTACAGTAAGCATGGTAGTCATCTACTCCTTTACGACACCAAGAACTCAATCTTTGACCATTGGAATCGACGGCAGAAAGCCATGCATTGCTAAACTTTGTTCTACCGCCAGGCATTTTCATACACCGTATTCACAAATGGCGGACACGCGGGAAAAAACTGGTGCCTAGTCATGAAAGCGAGGCGGAGGATAAACAAAAATTGCAAATAAAGACTTTCAGAGAACTTGCAGATGTTTAAGCACGGATTCCACCTAAAATAGCTTTGTACGAACTCCGTTTTAAATACAATTACGTGGGATGCCTTCTGCTTTTAATGTTTAGTGGTGATTTGCTGTTCGCAATCAAAAAGGACGCGTATATCTTCAAGGAAACAGGATGATTTTGTAGGTTTGTGAAGCATCAGAAGCTCGACAAGTGGACGATGGCTGGAGAAAAGCGGCAAACATGTTTGCCCAAACTTCACATTGAAACCGAGTACAAAAGCCAGCTCACCGCAATTCGGTGAACAGAAATATAAACAAATCTTGGTGGCAAGAAAAAAAGAAACAAGCGAGAGATATATGGCCTACTCGTTAACGCAAGAGACGTCTGCCGCTGAACAATTCAAGTCTAGCCGATGGAAAAAAGGAAGACAGGAAAGAAGAGGTGACCGAGGTTTCAATGAAGTCATGTTTGATTTTTGTTTGCCAAGACGTAATTCTCTGGTCTTCATCGATGAAGGACATCAATAAGGACATCAATTAGAGCTAATTTTTTAGTATAAATGCAAGAGCGATCGGGTGGAGTACGCTCAAGATTTCAACTTGTTACTTGGCAGCCTCGGTAAGCCGGCCACATAATTTCAGCGAGTAATTTTGCATCTCTTATCTTTGGCTGTCAAGAGTTTTAACTTTATGTTCCATAATATTTTAAAGTTGAAGAATAGATAAATAAATAAAATGATGGTCTTCTTCAAGTTAAACGGATCCAGACTAGAATTTAATTATTCGGAACAGAAGCTTGCCGTGTTCAGTCCTGACACAAACATTGCCCTAAAAGTTTAAATAACTTAGTAAAATGTAAGCTTTATTCCACTTTTTTACCAAGAGCTCTCTGAGATAATGCCCTAGAGGAGACTAGGTAAATAGCAAGCCATAAGATTCACACACTACAGCTTCTAAGTTTGATAAAATTATTTTTAATTATTTCGCAATGACAAAGAATGCATGATCATGAGATTTTTGCTAAGCTGTGCTAACGTACCTCTAACAATTCACCCCAAACCGACGGAATTAATATGATCCAAAGGAAGTTGCAAATAAAGGTATACATATATACATAGATATGTATACAATGACACTGACATGAATGAATAAGCCTCGTGAATGAATCTTTCACCCGCTCTCGACTTGACCTGTTTTGTGTAATGACAGAGGTCCATTCCGTTGACAAGTAGGCCATATATCTGTCGCTTATCTCTCTTTTTCTCGCCACCAATATATGTTTTTATTTCTGTTTCAAAGAATTGTAGTGATCTGGCTTTCGTAGAACAAATGTGGCTATTACTTTAACTAATATTAGAACATCAGAGTCAACGTACTATGTGCTTTATGATCTCACTATAAAACACATTCAACTATAATTCCACTTTCAATTTTATTACAAATTTTGGCTTTACTGGCTAAAAAATAGGAAAAATAGGAGGTTCTGGTTAAAAAATAGGAGAAAATAGGAATGGGCCCAAAAAATAGGAAAAAATAGGAAAAAATAGGAACTGGACACCCTGCAGTATGATGTCATCTTGTGTACCCAGGAGTTTTGAGGCCATTCGTTGCAGCATAGTTACAACCAGAGAAAACAACTCACAATAATCTTCCTCCTTTTACCTTCATTCTCTTACATTGTGTTGTGTTTTCCGCCATTATGCTTTGAATCCCAGCAAGCTGTGGTACACAAGATGACGTCTCAAGCCCTGTTTTGGCCACGCGACTTGATACCACTCTTTACTAACTAAAGAAAATTGTCAAATTCAGAGGGCTATAAACTCTTCAATTTTTAATATTTGCAGATGAAATTTTTTCTTATTGCTTTTTAAGACTTGTAGTTTTAATTTAAGTGAAAATACTTTTGGTGTCACAGGCACTTTAAGCAAGTGTGTCTTCTTTGGACAAATTAATAGGGTATGAAACCTTCAAGGATTGACTTGAAGTTTGGTCCAAAGGCTCCCAAGAAATTTATCTAAACTAGACGCATATCTGCGTGAACTCGGGCTTTCAATATCCACATCTGGATTTATCTTTAGGGGACTGCCATATTGCCATTTTTAATGTCGTCATGCAATTTCATCATTGCCGGTCACGAATAAGTCTACCTGTGCAATAAATGGCTTGAACCTGGGGGTAACATGTGAAGGTGTAGTCTGATTGTCCGGGTGAGTGTAGTCCTGAGAAGGACTGTTGTCAGTGGTAGTGACTGACGTTTCGACAACCTGTGCGGAAGTCATCATCAGAGTCAAGTTGAGTGTAGTCCTTCTCAGGACTATGTTCACCTGGACGATCAGACTACACCTTCATATTTTATTTCTCTTCCACGTAATAGAGAGCCATAGCAGCACTAGCAGAACATAACATGCTTTGCAGAATCTAACATTATTTTATACTTTAAAATTCTATACGTTTCCTCTCAACTAAGATTTCAATCTTTCCCATACAACATTTTTAGTTTTCTCTACACAAATGACTATCTTTCTCTACCAGTTCAGTAATGTTACATTTCCATTTATTAAGTATCTGTGAAATACTTTANTCTACCGCCAGGCATTTTCATACACCGTATTCACAAATGGCGGACACGCGGGAAAAAACTGGTGCCTAGTCATGAAAGCGAGGCGGAGGATAAACAAAAATTGCAAATAAAGACTTTCAGAGAACTTGCAGATGTTTAAGCACGGATTCCACCTAAAATAGCTTTGTACGAACTCCGTTTTAAATACAATTACGTGGGATGCCTTCTGCTTTTAATGTTTAGTGGTGATTTGCTGTTCGCAATCAAAAAGGACGCGTATATCTTCAAGGAAACAGGATGATTTTGTAGGTTTGTGAAGCATCAGAAGCTCGACAAGTGGACGATGGCTGGAGAAAAGCGGCAAACATGTTTGCCCAAACTTCACATTGAAACCGAGTACAAAAGCCAGCTCACCGCAATTCGGTGAACAGAAATATAAACAAATCTTGGTGGCAAGAAAAAAAGAAACAAGCGAGAGATATATGGCCTACTCGTTAACGCAAGAGACGTCTGCCGCTGAACAATTCAAGTCTAGCCGATGGAAAAAAGGAAGACAGGAAAGAAGAGGTGACCGAGGTTTCAATGAAGTCATGTTTGATTTTTGTTTGCCAAGACGTAATTCTCTGGTCTTCATCGATGAAGGACATCAATAAGGACATCAATTAGAGCTAATTTTTTAGTATAAATGCAAGAGCGATCGGGTGGAGTACGCTCAAGATTTCAACTTGTTACTTGGCAGCCTCGGTAAGCCGGCCACATAATTTCAGCGAGTAATTTTGCATCTCTTATCTTTGGCTGTCAAGAGTTTTAACTTTATGTTCCATAATATTTTAAAGTTGAAGAATAGATAAATAAATAAAATGATGGTCTTCTTCAAGTTAAACGGATCCAGACTAGAATTTAATTATTCGGAACAGAAGCTTGCCGTGTTCAGTCCTGACACAAACATTGCCCTAAAAGTTTAAATAACTTAGTAAAATGTAAGCTTTATTCCACTTTTTTACCAAGAGCTCTCTGAGATAATGCCCTAGAGGAGACTAGGTAAATAGCAAGCCATAAGATTCACACACTACAGCTTCTAAGTTTGATAAAATTATTTTTAATTATTTCGCAATGACAAAGAATGCATGATCATGAGATTTTTGCTAAGCTGTGCTAACGTACCTCTAACAATTCACCCCAAACGGACGGAATTAATATGATCCAAAGAAAGTTGCAAATAAAGGTATACATATATACATAGATATGTATACAATGACACTGACATGAATGAATAAGCCTCGTGAATGAATCTTTCACCCGCTCTCGACTTGACCTGTTTTGTGTAATGACAGAGGTCCATTCCGTTGACAAGTAGGCCATATATCTGTCGCTTATCTCTCTTTTTCTCGCCACCAATATATGTTTTTATTTCTGTTTCACAGAATTGTAGTGATCTGGCTTTCGTAGAACAAATGTGGCTATTACTTTAACTAATATTAGAACATCAGAGTCAACGTACTATGTGCTTTATGATCTCACTATAAAACACATTCAACTATAATTCCACTTTCAATTTTATTACAAATTTTGGCTTTACTGGCTAAAAAATAGGAAAAATAGGAGGTTCTGGTTAAAAAATAGGAGAAAATAGGAATGGGCCCAAAAAATAGGAAAAAATAGGAAAAAATAGGAACTGGACACCCTGCAGTATGATGTCATCTTGTGTACCCAGGAGTTTTGAGGCCATTCGTTGCAGCATAGTTACAACCAGAGAAAACAACTCACAATAATCTTCCTCCTTTTACCTTCATTCTCTTACATTGTGTTGTGTTTTCCGCCATTATGCTTTGAATCCCAGCAAGCTGTGGTACACAAGATGACGTCTCAAGCCCTGTTTTGGCCACGCGACTTGATACCACTCTTTACTAACTAAAGAAAATTGTCAAATTCAGAGGGCTATAAACTCTTCAATTTTTAATATTTGCAGATGAAATTTTTTCTTATTGCTTTTTAAGACTTGTAGTTTTAATTTAAGTGAAAATACTTTTGGTGTCACAGGCACTTTAAGCAAGTGTGTCTTCTTTGGACAAATTAATAGGGTATGAAACCTTCAAGGATTGACTTGAAGTTTGGTCCAAAGGCTCCCAAGAAATTTATCTAAACTAGACGCATATCTGCGTGAACTCGGGCTTTCAATATCCACATCTGGATTTATCTTTAGGGGACTGCCATATTGCCATTTTTAATGTCGTCATGCAATTTCATCATTGCCGGTCACGAATAAGTCTACCTGTGCAATAAATGGCTTGAACCTGGGGGTAACATGTGAAGGTGTAGTCTGATTGTCCGGGTGAGTGTAGTCCTGAGAAGGACTGTTGTCAGTGGTAGTGACTGACGTTTCAACAACCACACAGGTTGTCGAAACGTCAGTCACTAACACCGACAACAGTCCTTCTCAGGACTACACTCACCCGGACGATCAGACTACATCTTCACAAGTCTACTTGTGTTTATTTTTGTCTTCTGGGGTGTAATCAATGTTATGGTACTAGACAACAATCAAAATAATATGTTACCATATAGGAGTAAGTTCCAGTAGATGCCAAAGGTTGAAATTCAAGGACTTTTCAATGACTTTGAAGGCGAAGTTTTAGAAAATTGAAGGGGCCACTTTTGGAAAAGTTTGCAGAAGCAATTTTAAAATTATTTATTATTATTTCTCAGCTCTTCCATGAAAGAACTGTAACTTTCAACTTGAAAATTGCTTAGGAAAAAGCATTACAAAAATCAAGCCTTAGTCCTCAAACATTCAGTACTTTCAAAGCCTTGAGTTTTTAATTTTCAAATTCAAGCATCTTCAAGGACTTTCAAAGCTTTAACGAACCCTGAGTAGGTTATGTATTTGTCTTTAACAACATGGACAATGGAATTTTTCATCAATTATTAGCACCACGTCATAGTTTGTTGCCAAATGTTCACCCAAGGAGAGTTGTCAGAAATCAGTAGATTGAATCTATATAACTGTTCATATTGTTTTTACAGTCAAACTAAGTGAAGCGTACCCCTCAAGAATACATTAATGAATTGATTATTTGGATATTGAACCTGCCAGTCGTTTCAAGAATGCAATAATGAATTGATTATTTGATTATTGAACCCGCTAGCTGTTTCACGAATGCAATAATGGATTGATCATTTGAATATTGAACCCGATAGCCGTATCCATTTTGAAAAGGTGCGAATCATTGTTCAAATCAGACATCCATTTCTGATTGGTTTATGCGAACACGTGATGATGAAATGGAACCATTTCATGGCATCAGACATGGCGGGAAAGGTGAGTTCGACTGTTGTGTAGAACTTCTTGTAAATTAAATGTTGTAAATGGAATGTTATCGACAGCTTTTTTCGCCTATTTACATCATGACGAACTTGTAGAAATTCTTGTACGCATTCATGGTCGAGGAAAATAGTTTACAGGCGAAGCCATCGCAAGACTTTTATTTCATAAATATTTGCGATCGACTGTTTGTGCAGTGTTTTTACAGTGCAGTTTGTTCATTTTCAGGATTCCTTGTCAAATAGAACAATCTTATTGGTCTCATCAGAAATGGACTTCTGATTTGAACAATGATTCGCGCCTTTTCAAAACGGATACAGCTATCAGGTTCAATATTCAAATAATCAATCCATTATTGCATTTGTGAAATGGCTAACGGGTTCAATAATCAAATAATCAATTCATTATTGCATTCTTGAAACGACTGGCAGGTTCAATATCCCAATGATCAATTCATTAATGTAATCTTGAGGGGTACGCTTCACTTAGTTTGACTGTAATAGAAAAATCTCTGAATATTTATACTGCTGATGGCCACAACAAGAGTAGTGCTATTTACAGTTTTAGTATATTCAATTAGAGGCATTTGACTTCCATACCAAAACGGAATACACATGTTTTGACCTTTTTGTGGGTTTAAAAATACATGTCATACCAAATCTGAAAACCATATCAAACACCCTGTGTATTCAACTATTATTTCTAACAAGATTTTCAAGAATTTATTTGCTGTCAACTGAATCAGTCAATATTCCTTCATCGTAATCACTTTTAAGATCTAAACTTACTTCAGTTCCACAAACATCCATTTTTGGCAAATCATGACAGTAAATACCTGTTCAAAGATGAATTTTCATAATGTTTTGCCATACTGAGTAGGAGATAAGGTGTTTGAATTCCAATAACTACATGATTTGATTACAGAGTAGCAGAGTGAATAGACAGCCACAGCTCAATTCACATTGAACTTTCTGGTTTCAGAGGCATGACTAAAAATGGGTACTATTTTGAACTTTATCAATTTTAACCCCTTTCTACTCAAATCTATCACTGTTATGTATACTCTGAAAGTAATGTACTTAGCTATTCAGTGATGATACTTCAAGCAGTACACATATACCTTGAAAATGGCTTCTATCATAAATTTCCCTTGCATGAGAATCCAACATTTTCAAGCCAACATTGCCTTTACAACAGATAGCAACTGCAGTACATCCTAGACAAAATTGTCAAGATTCTCAGATATAAGTGATTGAAAGGCTCCATCTATCCATCTAAGGAAGTACTTCTTGATGATTAGT